GGGTCAGTCTTGGTGTGGGGCTCTGATCTGTGCTGCTTAGCTCTTAGGCTGCGCCCTGGCCCTGCCTGCCTGGCCCATAGGCATGGCGTGCCCTCAGCTGCCACTCACTCTCTCCCGCTCCGACATACTCTTGGCCTCTGCACATTCTGTTCCTTGCCTGGATGCTTCTCCTTCCCCTTTGGCCAGTGAATGTGCCCCTTCAGATCAGCAGGGGTGGGGGGCTCTGCTGTCATTGGTTCCCCTCCTACTCGAGTGTCCAGAGGGCACTGAGCCACTGTAAGCAGATGAAACAGGAGCCTGAGTCACCCCTGCATGTTCAAGACAGTAACCCCGTGGCTGCCACAGTGTCTGCACACAGTAGGGGCCAACTCACTGTTCTGGAATGAGTGAGACCCTACACCACTTGCCAGGCAGTGACCCGGAAGCTTCGTGCATACCATCAGTTTGACGTCTCCTCGGGTCCCACTTGGCCCTGTCCAGAAGGGTTTAGTGTCCCCATATTATAGCTGGAGAAACCGAGGGCCAGAGGTGGGGAGAGACGTACCCAGAGCCGCACACGGAGTAGACGCCATGGTCAGAATTGACCATCTGTTTGTGGTGAGGCTGTTTTGTTCCCCACGCTGATGGGGAAGCCTGAGATCCAGGGATGAGTGAGGTTCGTAAGCTGGTAGCCTGCAGCTGGGGTCCCGCCACCAGCCACAGGGCACGGTGCTAGTGCTGCGGCAGGAGGACTCAGAGCCCGCACTGCAGCTGCGGCCACCACACTGAGGGTAGCAAGGGCTGGGAGGAGCCCAGGGCAGGGGAGAGGATCCTGGGACCGGGTGCCAGGTGGGCACAGCCCAGGGGCAGGACAGGAGCGGCACTAGCTGGCTGGAGCTGTGCAGGGTGGACAGTGGGGACAGGATGGGAGCCAGGAGCCTGTGCAGCCTCCTGGGGAATCCTGGGTCCTGGGAGGGGGTGAAGGCAGTGGGACAGGGAGAAGGGCCAGCAGGTGCCTGTGGGGCGTGAGGGAAAGGGAGGGATCAGC